AAATACATAAAACGATATTCCTTATTAAATTCCTTTATTTCAAAATGAGCAACAAGGGCTCTATCTGATTAGGAAACACTGATGATGTTACAGAATAAAGCTGCATAAAGTAAGCAGCTATGATTCATCCACAGGTCATGTTTTGTTGCATTTTGGACGTGCAGTGTAGCGCATTTCATTTCTTAATGGTTGCATGGCTCTCATTTAAAGATAATACAGACAAATGTGACTGAATGGACGTCTAAAGGTTTTATTTGTCGCTTTGCAGAGTTCCAACATGACGAAATCTTACACCGAGGAAAGCATGATGCTGGAGCCTCAAACCAGCACGGACTGGACCGACAAGTGTCACAGCAGCTCCCAAGACGAGCGAGACGTGGAGAACACCAGCTTGCCCATGCATAAGGATATGGAGGACGACGAAGTGGGACTCAACCGACTCGAAGATGAGGACGACGAGGAGGAAGAGGAGGAAGAAGAAGACGGCGACGACACCAAGCCGAAAAGGCGAGGACCCAAGAAGAAGAAGATGACTAAGGCGCGTCTGCAGAGGTTCAAAATGAGGCGCATGAAGGCGAACACCCGGGAGAGGAACCGCATGCACGGCCTCAACGACGCGCTCGAGAGCCTGCGCAAAGTTGTGCCGTGCTACTCCAAAACGCAGAAGCTCTCCAAGATCGAAACCCTCCGACTGGCCAAGAACTACATTTGGGCGCTATCGGAAATCCTGAGGTCGGGCAAGAGCCCGGATCTGATGTCTTTCGTGCAGGCCCTGTGCAAGGGCTTGTCCCAGCCCACGACCAATTTGGTTGCAGGATGCCTCCAACTGAACCCCAGAACTTTTCTCCCCGAGCAGAGCCAGGAGATGCCCCCTCATATGCAAACAGCAAGTGCTTCCTTTTCCGCGCTTCCCTACTCCTACCAGACGCCCGGTCTTCCCAGCCCTCCATACGGTACAATGGACAGCTCTCACATCTTTCACGTCAAGCCGCACGCGTACGGGAGCGCACTGGAGCCGTTCTTTGACACCGCGCTCACAGACTGCACCAGTCCCTCGTTTGACGGACCCCTTAGCCCGCCTTTGAGCGTCAATGGGAACTTTTCCTTCAAACACGAGCATTCGTCGGAATTCGAGAAGAACTACGCCTTTACCATGCATTATCAGGCGGCAGGCTTGGCCGGCGCGCAGGGACACGCGTCTCTTTACGCGGGCTCCACGCAGCGCTGTGATGTACCCATGGAGAACATTATGTCGTACGAAGGGCACTCGCATCACGAGCGGATCATGAACGCCCAGCTGAACGCGATATTTCACGACTCGTGATTCTAACGGACATTTGTGAGACTGCTCGTCACGGTATTCTGTTATGGCTGATGCAAAAAGAGCAACAACATTATATGCTTAATCTTATGTACGTATTTATTGTTGTTACTGCCTTTAGGAGAAGAGAGAATTCGTTTATTCTCGTTCACCTTTATGTATTGTATTCTATAGCGCTTCTACGTTGCGGTCACACACACAGGTGGGAACAGGCGTGACCTTCTTCAGAATGTGTTAATTATCCATGCTACAAAATCACAAGCAATAATTTGGAATCTATGCAATTTTTAATCCAATACTGGGCCAATTATAGAAATTAATAGAGATTGATATATTTTTCAACCTATTACCTTTTACTACTTATCTATCCCATACTGAATTATTTTGTTGTGGTTTTGTATAGAATTGTTCATTTTGATAAGGTCAGATCCCTGCATCATTCCATGCAACCCCTCATGTTAATGTTTTATAAAACGGATTTCTCTCTTGTTTATACAGAACAGTACTCAATCTAGTAATAACCAGCAGGCAAGTGCTTAAAAATCTGTAATGTTGCCTTAGCAATGAATTACTGTAAAATCATGCAGAGTTGCACAATTCCCACCCCCTGAATCCCGTCTCATGTTACGTTCAATCAGTGATCCTTTGTGGAATTGCGAATTGCTTTGAGTGCTGGAGGGGAAAAAATTCGGTGTTAGAGTCTCAGTGTTGTACATAAAAGCTTGACTATCACCTTTTAAATTCACCCTGTGTAAAAGCTGATCGAGAGGCCTGTCTTTCTAAGATGGAAAATAAATAATGGACTGAATTAGTCTGCTCTAACTATTCGGGGATTTTCGACTGGAATTTTTAATTGGTTGCGAAGAAGGAACAAACAATGAAGATGCAACCAAAAACAGGTTGATTTCAAAGTGATTCTAGTTTTGAGACTGTTGTATGTGTGTATCAGTTCATGATGGAGGCTTAAGAAATAAAACAAATGGTTTTGAATTGAACATTATTACAGTCATTTTTGTAACGAACTCCCAGCCCTTCAGAATGCGTTTTACTCTCATTAATTATGATTTGTATTTTCTTTAAAACACATACTTGCTCTAATCTGATTATTCAGATAGAAACACAAATATAGATGAACAAAAATGATTCATGTTAGTCTCAAAATCTAGGCTACAGTATCAAAGGTTTCGTGTGATGAATAGCTTAGAGGTTTGAAACTGTTGGCTACATTTTGAAACTATTAATATTAAATCTCAAGGTCATGTGAATTTATACCCTTGAATATTATTAAACACATAGCCTATTTTTTCTGTCCTAAAGGATATTCACTGTTAGTATGCTTTAACTAACCTGTATCGATTTAGTGCGCAATAAGAGTGTTACTTTCCTGAGCGCATTGCCTACAGCTAAAATAAATATTAAATCAGCACAGAGGAGCCCAACGCAGAGCCACGACATAAATGCACCTCCTAAAGTCTGAAATGATCCAGGTTTATTTAAAACCAGGCAGGGGTAAAACAATCTCCTCAAAATAACATGACATACAGCATCACGAAATGTTGCTTAATGTCAACATCGCTGTTGCGCATATCGATGCATTTCTAAAAGGTTTTCATCTCTAACAAATATTTGGAATTTCTAAATACAACACTATATTACCAAATGCATAGGAACAATTCACATCATAGCTACATCAGTGTAAATTAATTAGTCCTCGATTCGTTTATAATCCACAACTGTTCATGCCACGCCTGCAAACAAATCTTCTTAAAATGAATCAGATATTTGTGTAGTGCAGAAAAGCCTTTGTTCATGATTAAATTAAGTTACAGTTGTCACACACGCACAATATAGATTGTAAAGAAGATGAAAAGAGAATGGTGTAAAAGTGAGTTATTGAAATGCCCCCGCATTTTAGAAGCGTGTACGAAGATAAATGAATAAAACAACGTTCTGTGTGAAAGTATTTGAAGATATCATATAATATAAATATTAAAAAACAAAATACAAATCTCGTAAAATCCAGGCACCTGCTCGCTGAGTGAAAGCTTTTTGGAGGCTAGATGGGAGAAATACAAGACATCACGACTGATATAGTCCTTTAGAAATGTGTTTAATTTATACGACTTCATTGAGACTGTTGACAAAACATAAAAAAAAATCACTTGGCATATAAAAAGGGGAAACATCCACTGGGAGTAAAGTGCTTAGTCTCTAGAAGCTTTGGCCACATCCAGGAACTGTCCAAGGTGCTGTGTGAGGAATACTTTTCTCACACCTGTTCACCTAGTACTCGGGCTAACTGTTTAGCACACCAAATAAACCAGGCATGCAGTCATTAGAATAAGAATACAAACGCAGTCGTCCAAGTCTGAGGCAACCTATATCTTTGTTAACATGTAAATACTGTTACATAAGTGCCATCAGTGTTTGACAAAATTAAAATATTTGTGTTAACTCCTTTTCTATTATTTAACTAACTAGTATCTATTTATAGTACTTTTAAAATCACTAGTAATTGCATTAAAAGTAATGCAATAGTGACCTTTTTGCAATTCAATTCTATAGGGAAATATTCACATATAGCTATAGGCCTAGGCATATTGATTTCTAGCAGGCCAATGCTTTACTAGTAGTACTACTAACTACTATTGTTGGTACTAGTTGGTTTTCCAATCTTTTTTCAGTTTTACTAGCACTAGCACTAGCACTTTAACCGTTCATTAGACATGAAACATTTTGTTACTAGTTTTATAGTAACATAAAATGGATAAATGTTAAAACGGTGTGTCATAGTATTTCACATTACCACATAAATGTTATGAATAGTTGAAATAGTAATAACCAGTGTTGGGGGTAACACATTACAAGTAACGCGAGTTACGTAATCAGATTACTTTTTTCAAGTAACTAGTAAAGTAACGCATTACTTTTTAATTTACAAGAGAATATCTGAGTTACTTTTTCAAATCAGTTACGCAAGTTACTTTTTTTTTCCAATTTATTGATTGAGGGCTCTCCTGTCCCCATGTTGAGAGAAATCAGATGTTACTGTAGTTCTAAAATAAATATGAATATGCATTAATTCATCTCCCTCACTCACAAAAAAAAAACACACACAGATTCAGTATTGCTCAAAATGAATAAAAATAATGCAACTCAGAATATGACGCGAACCTGCAATAATTAAATGTTAAACAACACAAATATCCTTTATGTATTTAATCCCATTCTATTAAGCAATGTCTTTGCTTCTGACCTTCGATGATCCAGTTCAACCGTACTAATAAGCAAAAATGACTCTAGACAACATTTGTGTGTCTTTTTTTATTGCTGAAGTGTGTTGAGATTTCTTCTGCATTCTACTGTACGGACCTAAATTTACTTTCCCTTCAGCCTGAGGCGCATTCATTTCACTTTTGGTGTGAAAGGGCTTTTATATTTGCCAAAAATTTAACTTTTTTATTTTAAAAGCAAACAAGCAAGCCCTGATTCCAGATTTAAAAAGTAACGCAAAAGTAACGTAACGCATGACTTTCCATAAAAAGTAACGAAGTAACGTAATTAGTTACTTTTTTATGGAGTAACGTAATATTGTAACGCATTACTTTTAAAAGTAACTTTCCCCAACACTGGTAATAACAGACTAAATGCGCGTGCTCGGCTATTAAAGCCCAGCGGGCGCGCGCGCTCTAGAGGTGCATGCAGACGAGGAACTTCCTCAGGAGCCTAGCGACCGAAAGCCGGTAAATTAAGACACAAAGGCCAGTTTGCCCCGCAAGCTTTGACGTTATGTTTGAATCCCCGTGTAAATCGATAAATGTCCTCAACGCGTGGTCGGAGAGTCAGGACGAGTTGCGCGAGACGCAACCGGTGTCTCCTCGCGGGACGAGAAAGCGAGTCAAGGCAAAAAAGAAAAAGCGAAAACAGCAGCAGCAGCAAAACGAGAGACGCTCCGTCTCGGCCCCTCAGTTATGCACGGATGACGCCGATAAGGGGCGAACAGAAAAGAAACATAGACCGGACGAACCGATTGGGAGAGGAATCTTCCAAATCGGGAAGAAGAGCCACGACGTGGTTCTCACGGAAACGCGGGTGACATGGACGCCCATACAGCCCGAGACCCCTACAGGTGAGCAGCTCCGCGCTCTGTTTGCTGCCGTTTCCATGGTGATTGCATGCTACTCCTGTTTACTTTCTGTGTGTCTGGCGCTCGAAGTCATACAAGCAAGCTATTTATTCATTTATCGTGTTTACAGACACGACTGCGCCTCGTGTACACTGCGCATGCAATCTCAGCATCGGAAAAGTGCTTGCTGAGATTTATTAGCACTGGACTCAAAATAAGCAATGGCTGTAGGCTAGCCTGTAATTTGTATGGTTTTATGACCGTTTTAGAATGTTAGAATGAATAATTGCATTCGAAATTTTAGAATGAATCGTTTAATTTGTATTCACTCTTTCTTATTTTGGTTATGTAGGCCTATATGTTTCTGTTTTGTACATGAATACAAAGAAGAGAAAAGTGCTTACTGAGATTTAAGACAGAGACTGTAGAAACTTGGTTTTATGAATGTTTTGGAATTAATTGGTTTTGAATTTAGAATCATTGGGCCTCTTCCTCTTACATTGGTTATGTATATATACACTGTAAGAAACTGACTGTGAAATTCACAGTAATTAACTGGCAGCAAGTGACAAGTAACTTACTGTAGAAAAAGCACAGTAATTGACCAGAAGCAAGTGACAAGTAACTTACTGTAGAAAATAACTACAGTAATTGACTGGCAGCAAGTGACAAGTAACTTACTATAGAAAATAACTACAGTAATTAACTGGCAACAAGTGACAAGTAACTTACTATAGAAAATAACTTCAGTAATTAACTGGCAACAAGTGACAAGTAACTTACTATAGAAAATAACTTCAGTAATTAACTGGCAACAAGTGACAAGTAACTTACTGTATAAAAAGCACAGTAATTGACCAGAAGCAAGTGACAAGTAACTTACTGTAGAAAAAGCACAGTAATTGACCAGAAGCAAGTGACAAGTAACTTACTGTAGAAAATAACTACAGTAATTGACTGGCAGCAAGTGACAAGTAACTTACTGTAGAAAAAGCACAGTAATTGACCAGAAGCAAGTGACAAGTAACTTACTGTAGAAAATAACTACAGTAATTGACTGGCAGCAAGTGACAAGTAACTTACTATAGAAAATAACTACAGTAATTAACTGGCAACAAGTGACAAGTAACTTACTGTAGAAAATAACTTCAGTAATTTTACTGGCAACAAGTGACAAGTAACTTACTGTAGAAAATAACTACAGTAATTAACTGGCAGCTAGTGACAAGTAACTTACTGTAGAAGAAATAACCATATTTTTGCTGTTTTCATTTACAGTAGCAACCATGTAACTGTAAAGTAAAACTCACAAATTTGCAAGTGCAACCTTTTTTTTTGTGCCTTTTTGTGCTTATTACACAGGACAGTGTGGAATGATCAGCATAGGACCTTAAGCCAGGAATCGAACACGGGTTGCCAGAGACACAGTTGCACTATATATCAGTGTGCTAACCATTAGACTATTGGTACCGATAGTTGTACAGATAGCTGTTTAGTTGTATTGGTTCAGCCCAAATAAAAATAATATAATAAAAATGAATATGAAATAAATAATGCATGTTGCACGATTTAAATATAAATATTCATTTATCTAAAGTCACGGCTCATCATAACAAGCTTCATTTATCATTCTTCACTTATTGCTAGAAGTGTTGAAAACAATAAAATCTTGATGACCGTCTGGTCATTTAAAAAAAATGTATTTTTATTAAAGAATACATTTGCTTCCTGTATTCTCTATTCAAACCTAAAATGTAATTGAATTACAGTGAGGTCAAATTAAATGCAGTTATTGGCTGGAAACCAAATAGGCTACTATGTTTTCCTTCTCTATCCCAGTGGCTGGGTTTCAGAAAACCCTAGTGTATGGCAGTATGGTGAAATCGCGTTCTGGGGGGTGAATTTATGATTATGATACTGAAGTTAAAATAATATGATAATAATTAAAAGTTTGTATGAAGCAGTGTAATGGGCTGTTTTTGTACAGGTAAAATAACTGGAAGCGAAAGACACCAGAAGCCAAACACATTCAAGTTACAAATAGTCACGCCCGCTCTCTTGTGAAAACTATGCTGGATATAAATAATATCCTTTTTTTTTTTTTACAGCACATTGTTGGTTACTGTAATTTTCTACAGAACATAACTGCTTGTTGTGTTTTCTACAATACATTGGTAATTACTGTGATTTTCTACAGTACATAACCGCTTGTTGTGTTTTCTACAATACATTGGTAATTACTGTGATTTTCTACAGTACATAACCGCTTGTTGTGTTTTCTACAATACATTGGAAGTTACTGTGATTTTCTGCAAGACATTGCTGGTTACTGTGACACTCACAGTACTTCTTACATTACTGCAATTTTGACAGAAACTACGGTATTCTACTGTGAACTAGTATACAGTAATTTCCTGTGCACAAACACAGTAAATTCCTGTAGATTTCACATTAATTTTTTACAGTGTAGACCTAACACATGATGCACACTTAGGCCTACAATTAACACACAAACTCTAGACTCACACATCAAAAAGTTGCATTTTCAGAAATATATGCATCCTTCTACCACAGCACAGCTTTTTTAAACACCTGTTTGTCTCTATAAAGTTTGCAAAACAAAGTGACATCATCCACAATGCTATTGCTTCAATGACAAATGCGGATCTAAGACAAGGTTGCAGATATGTAGCTAATGAGAATCCTTGAAATGATCACTTATATTTAGAGATGAAAAACTTACATTGCACTTACATTGCAACAAAGGTATACATTTTATTAGATTATGCATTCCTTGGGAAATGAACTCATGATCTTGGTGTCGCTAGGCTCTACCGTTTGAGGGGTTGTTTTCAAGACTGTTTTAAAACAGAAAACTTTTTATGCATTTTGGCTGTTCATTTACATGACAAGGGTGTTTTGTGGGCCTGAAAATGCAAACTGCAAACCGGTTTCAAAATGCAAGTTTTTGAAAACGATACCATTATTATTTCAGTGTAAACTATGAAAATGTGAATTTGTGAACACGGTGATGTCATGCATATGCATATTATGCGTTCAGTATAGGGGTGTAATGTTTCTTTAGAAAAAGACATCACCAACTACTGGCCTGGCATGCATAATACAGCATTTCTAGTAGTTCTCGTGGATCCGTGTGAAGTAAAAAAGCCCCCTTGTTGCAAAATTAAAAAGGTCCAAAAAGATCCCTTTTAAATGCTTTTTAATAAAAAATACACTTCTTTGTCATTTATTTTCACAAAGAGTGTGCTGCTCCATCAATATTCAATAAAATATGTTGATCGTTGTAAACCAGAAGTAAGCAAACTCTGGGCGGCCTTTAGCTGCATTGTACCCTACTGTAATAATTACACAAACAAAAGAGGGCTACAACAATATAACAATCCAAATAAAGGGGGGAAAAGGGGGTAATGTTAGTCCTGCCAGAAAATCATGTGTAACAGCTGTGTTGGTAATGGACTCCGGCTGACTGTTGTGACCACCTAAAGTAGGGCATCTGTCAGTCTTGTGGACAGTTAGCAAATGTCCAAGTAAATGATACTCAAAAGTACCATCTGCATCATTACACTAAGAAGATAACCATATGACTTTAGGAGGATTTGATTTCATTCAATATCAGTGAAAATCTAAGCGGTGTAGTTTTTCGCTTTGCGTTTTATTTAAGGAATCCACCTACATTTTGAGTTACTAGAAATATATGCAAACATGAGGGGGCCTTTATATGGAAAATGCAGCAGCGTCAAATATAAACGTGCATAAATATGAATATAAGACCACCTTTGCTGTCGTCTTTGAGGCATTCATTAAAAAAGCCCTCCAAATTTGCTCTTAAAGAGTGGATTCTTGATTTATGCTGTTTGATCAGGGAACAAAACCGAATGGGGAAAATGAAACAATTTTGAAACACGCCCAGCAGTTTGAAGCTGAGGCATGTACTTCCTGTCTTTGGCTGTTGTTTTGCACTGGCACTTCAAAGTGTGAGCGCTGCCGAGTGCAAGAGAGACTTTCAGTCAGCGTAAGCTTTATAGACAGTACTTTTCATCTGTGATCCAAGCTAATGTTATTAAGCCAGAGCTCTCATTACACAGAAAGCATTCATCTAATAACCCCCTATGGCCTTTACCAAATGTTCTCTCGAAAATGCCAAAAAATGACAGCGAGATCCCGATATGCTGGGGTTCTCTATTTGACGCTCATGTGCTTTTTTCTGCCGAGGGATAACAGATCAGAATATTGCCCCTGATCCCTCACTACAGACAACTGAGAGAGATTGAAGGACATTAACCAGCAGACAAACACAATATCAAATTACATGATTGCAATGTGGCATTTCAGTGCTTGTTTCTATGACAACACTGTGTGTTGGATTTCAGTGATGATGTGATACCTCTGTTTACATCTCCCGTTGCTTAATTTTTGATTATGCGTTTTATTTGCAATGTCACATGCTTTAGACCTACAAAACAGAAAAGGCTGTTATCAAATTTACTTCTTAACATTTAAACAGTTTGATGCAAAAACCTCTAAGTCCATCTGAGATTTTTCTAAGATTTTTTCTTTTAAATGAGCATTTTTATCAGGCTTCTATGTTTAGGTTCAGTGATTTAATGGCAAAGAAAAGGTTATTAGTCAGTTGTTGAATGACTTATTTTCAAAAATCAATGGGCAACCAAGTGAGACACAGATCCCACGACTGATCTAAAATATCCAAATAGAAATTTGTTAATTCTCAATGGGAAAGTGCCCAAGCAACGTTACTCAAAAAAAAAAAAAAAGCATAAAAAAAAAATCATAATTATTCCAATTGTTGGATCAAAAGTGTGTGTGTATATATATATATATATATATATATACACACACACACATATTTATAGAAGTCACTGACATTCTTGCCCTCCATTGTAACTTTTACTCAGAATATGAGGTTTGTTCTTGAATACTTTTGTGACACTTTTTTGTCTTTTGTCAGAAGAAAATCATGTGGA